GGTGTATATGTTAATAATTGTGGGTTGAGTTTAGGGTTGGGGTAGGTGTAGACATTAATAACTGTGAGGGCTGGATTAAGGGTTGGGGTACAGGCTGTACAGGCTGCAATGAGGACACACTCAAATTGTGGCGTAAATGGCACACTGTGAGCAGAGCTTAAGACCTGGAGTTGACAGTTTAGAGCAGGGTTTCTCATCCAGTGTATGGTTCCACAAACTGTTTACTGACACAGACACAGAGACTTCCACACGCCACCATGGCCAAATACACCCAGTGACCTTCCTGACTCTCCTTCTTTGAGTCTTCAGTGGTCAAACCTCCAGCACATCTAGTCAACACTTCCTGCACACACCCTAATGTGCAAAGCTGGGGTGGTTAACATTAGCCTGATAGACGGAGTGACAACTTGACCTCCAAACACTGTAAACACATTCTGTGGCTACAAGACAGACCTTGTTTAGTATGACAAGGTACAAAAACTCAGAGCTACTGAAGCTACTGTATTACTATGGAACAGAGATACCTAAATTAAACCCCAAACTGTCTCACATTCAAGTTCTAACAGCTCTACAATTTAAGTACTCGCATCAACAAAGCTAGTAACAGAGGATAATGTACCCTGTTTCTGAAAAAAGTTTGTAAAAAGTACATTTTCTGAAATGTTATTACTTTTTGTTTTACTTTTACTGTAACAAAAAGAGATTTTTGATGTATTTACAGACTTTCACTCATGCATCTGTCAGTCATTATAGTGCACATGGTCCCTTTAGTCTTTAGGCTGAGAGCTTCATTGACTATTCTTACAAATATACATATGCAAAATAAGACTGGTCTTGTATGCCAGGGACACATATATCTTTCTGCTTGAGTAATAAACATTCAAGGTGTATTTCTTAATATAGCTTGTGTTCAGTGACAGCAGATTTCAGAAGTAATTCATAGCCCATGTTTCTATATTTATCTTAAAATGTCTTAATTCGGGCCTCGTAGATGTTGAGAGACTGTTTTGTTGATAATGGCATCTACAGTTGAAGACGGCAAGTCCTTGTTTACACCGAATGAATATCTGTTCATATCTTAGCACTCTTAAACCCACCTTCAGATTTGATTGTAACCCTGCTGAAAAATCCAGCTTAAACCAGCCTAGGCTGGTTGGCTGGTTTTAGCTGGTCAACCAGGCTGGTTTTAGAGGGGTTTTGGCCACTTCCAGGCTGGTTTCCAGCCATTTCCAGCCTGGTCTTAGCTGGTTAGGCTGGGAGATGACCAGCTAAAACCAGCTTGACCAGCCTAGGCAGGCTGGGAGTCCAGCCAAGACCAGCTATGTCCAGCTTAAACCAGGCTGGTCAAGCTGGTTTTAGCTGGATTTAGCTGGTCATTTTCCAGCCTGACCAGCAAAGACCAGGCTGGAAATGGCTGGAAACCAGCCTGGAAGTGGCCAAAACCCCTCTAAAACCAGCCTGGTCGACTATCTAAAACCAGCTAAAAAGCCTAGGCTGGTTTAAGCTGGATTTTTTAGCAGGGAAACCTTCCTTCTTTTGCAAAGTACTCAGTACAACGCAGAAGTATTACTGAATGAATAAACTTATTTAATAGCTTATAAGTCATTGGAAAAGTTAATCAAAAGGATGTGGGTAACCATTTTTATTTGGTTTGTAATATGTGTGTTTGTGTACAGAGGACAGTCTCACAGCACATCCCATAATAATCACATTTTTTTGTCATTAGGTGAAGTGTTGGTGGTCTTTTGTGGCTGACTGAACACATTTGACCACGTCAGCATTTACACCACAAGTGCAGTCAGATCCTATGCATTTTCAAATCTCCTCTCTCCTCTCTCAAAAAGTCAAACATGCACACAGTTTACACCTAATTTTCACCAGTTTTAGCATCCTTCACAAAAACAAACCCTAATATACAAGATGCCAAAAGGGTCTTAGAAAAGTACCAGCACACCTCTCATTATCATAAGAGGTGTCATGGATAAGACTTAATATTAAATCAACATAGGCTCATTCTGAAAACAGCCCTATGTACATTTTTGGTGATTGCGAATTATCTAGTTAAAAGTATGTATGGCTGTAAAACAAATGTGGCAAAGAACATATCCAGAAAGCAGGTAAGACAAAAAAATTAAGTAAAATAAACAAGTAAATAACAGTGAGAATGTGGTAAAATCTGAAAATGTCGCAAAAATCAGATGAGGACTTTTCCTTTTCTGGATTTCTTTTGAAAACACTATTGGTTGGGTCTAGGGAAGGAGGAGGGTGGGTCAGTTAATCGGTCAGTAAGTCAGTCAGTCAGTCGACAGTGGCCTCTAGTGGATTTATGTGAGAACAGAAGACATGAATGGCACTTGCGAGAGAAATTTGAAGTCTGGAAATGCGTACACAGCGGCAAAAACTGCAAAAAAAACATACCTCTTAGGACGTGTTTGTCACTCTCCAGAAATGTAGATAGCGGTTTCAGAATGAGCCTGGGTTGCATTGAATATATGTATTTGTGAGTAGCATTGGTGGCAAGTTTTGGGGACAACACCTGCATTTAGACTTATTTACAAGGCACTTATCGAAAGCATCAAGTGTAATTATGTCAGAATTTACAGTTTCCAAACCGTTTGAAAGTCGAGACTGTTTCCTATGCAACTCAATAAATCTCACCTGAACGCATTACAGTCTGCCCATAAACCCGGACCTACCCACTGTGGTTCTAAAGGTTGTAGGGTCAATCCGTCAATAAAGTCTGTCAGGGACACATGTGCTTTTCCCTACACTTATTTACACCTAAAATGACAGACATTTTGTTTTGGTCAGTCTGTTAAAGGGATAGTTCACCCAAAAGGCTAAATTCTGTCATCATTTACTCAGCTTTCACTTGTTCCAAAGAGTTCTTCTGTTGAACTGGAAGACATAGTGATGAATGCTAGAAACCATTTACTTTCATAGTATTTGGTTTTCCTGCTGTGGAAGACATCTTCTTTTGTATTTAATAGAATACAATTTTTGGGTGAACTATCCATTTAAGTAAGAATGTTGTAAATATATAGCACCCTATCCAATCTGTAACCCCTGGACTGACAGGGTTAATCTCTTTCATAAACGGCAAATAGACTACATTCAATTAATTTAGCAAAATTATCCATCTATTTTCCTCATTGGCCCTTAGGTGGACAACTATATTAGGCTTTCACAGTAGTTTGTACTCCACAGAGAGGAGTCACAACATTTATTTGATTGAAATAAACAGAACTGAAAGCTGCCATGCGTCTGTACTATGCCCACTCCAAAAGGCATACAAGAACATAGTCTTCATAAAGGTGGGGGGAATTAGGCACCCAGCTGAAGATGAATCTGTCCCTTGTGTCTGAAGGACAGAGGTGTGGATTCTGCAATCCTATCGTGAAATTCCAGGGGTGCTGGTGAAAGGTGTTGATCCAAGCAAAAGCTAAAAAGCGGGAAGCCACGGAATGTGACTTGGTGAGAGGAAAGCCTGGAGAGTCTTACATGTACACCAAAGCTTGGGCCTCATTCCCACTGTAGGTATCCTTCTCCAGCTAACTGTGTGTGTGTGTGTGTGTTTGTGTGTGTGTGTGTGTGTGTGTGTGGAGCTTGTATGCCATCCAAATGTCCCCACAAGTATAGCAATACCAGTATATTTTGACTTTGTGGGAACGTTTTTGGTCCCCATGAGGAAAATGGGTAATAAATTACACAGAATTAAGTATTTTGAAAATCTAAAAAAGCATATTGTTTCCTGTTTGAATTGGGTATAGGGGTAGGGTTGGGGCAGGAGTATCAAAAATATAGCTTGTCAGCGTGAAATCAACCTAACAATAGCTGTACAAGTGTGTTAGTGTGTGTAAATACACACATAGATGCATGGATCTGTTTTACATTAAGTTTTTATAAATGTTTTAAACCTTAAAAGCAAGAAAAACATTCATTATTTTTTGACTCGGTGGCACTTGGCAGAACAAAAACATCCTACAGAGACAAAGAAATAAATGTATAACCAAAAGCAATGCAGTAGAAGCAAACCCAAGAGGGTCATCATGTGCATTTTTCTGTGAAAAGCCTGGTTGTTTGACCCCAGGACGCCTCTCGAAAGGGTAATGGGATCATTGCATGTTGAGGTCCCATTATAAATAAACATCCTCAGCAGTGAACAGAAGCAAGGATATCTTTCAAGAATGTTCCACAGCCACAGTAAGGCATGCAAAATATTCCTGCCAGCATTAACTCAAAAAACAAAAACAAAACTTGACCTCTTTACTTGAGAAAGTGATTAGTTATGAGACTTTCTACATTAGATAATATTAGCCCGTTCATTTTTACTGTATAAACATGTTCCAATAAATTAAAATATACATATATATAATCTGTTTTATTCAGTTTTATTCTAGTTTGGCACATGATAAACATGTTTCTTCAGCATAACATAAATTTACAACTTATCCTTGACTTTTATTTAGTAGAAAACTAGAATGTGTGCAACATAAAATGTGTCATACCTTGTCTAAAAACACAGTTTTTGTGCATCATTTACAGATTTGGAGTTGCCAGTATCATAAAATTGCATTTCTTTAAATTCAATTTCAAGAGTTCACACTTAGCTGATGATTGTTTATAAAGCGTGTTTGTCATGCTGTCCCGGAAAACAGCCCTGAGCTCATAAGATCCTCGAGCCCAGGGCTCCCTCCCGTTGCAGGAGCTCAGGTAGATCTCAAGAACTCCCCTGCTGTAGTGGCTAACGAACAGATAGTGATTGCTCTTAAGAGATAACTGCTTACTAGGAGCATGTCTATGGTGCCAATTTGGATTAGTCAATTAACTTAAGTTGCATGTTTTTGGACGGTGGGAGGAAACCGGGGAACCCGGGGGAAACCCACGTGAGCACGGGGAGAACATGTAAACTCCGCACAAAAACGTTGGCTGGCTTGGTAAGGACTAGAACCAGTGACGTTCTTGCTTTGAAGCAACAGTGCTAACCACTGGGCCACCCATCTAGACAAGGAGGAGGAGGAGGGGAGGAAGGGGGGATTCTTCAAAACAAAGATGGCTGTGATATGGAACTCAGGGTGTATATATAGTGGCTTAGGAATCGTCTGATTGTTCAATCATAAATTGGCTAATGCATCACCTGCTGTGTTCAATCATAAGCATGTGATCCTCTCGAAATTAGTTAATAAAAAAACTTCACATGGATGTTTTTTTTTTCCCCCAAAGGCTGAATATCTCACACTTTGTGTTCTTTTAGGCAGCATACCTACCAATGTTTAATCCATTTAACTTTAGGTAAATATTTACACTACCTGGCACACATCTCTTTTGAATAGTCACCGCTGTAAAGTCATTAAGTTGTGAATTATAGTATTGTCATGTATGTTGTTCTGGTATCTCTGCCCAGGTAATTAAAGGCGATACACTTGTAATTCCCAGAATGCATTCTTGTAGGATTTCGAATTATAAGTGTCCCTTGTGCTTGGAGAAGCTCACTGCCGACAGGTTGTCCCTTTCCATTCGTAGCAAGAATCGAGCGATCAGGCAGCTCCCAGACTATATCTGGTGTAGGTATACCATTAGCAACACACTGCAGATGAACAGGAACTCCCGTCACTCCTTTCAAAGCCGGAGGTGGCCCATTGGTAATTCGAGCTGGATATGCAAGAATTATGACGGACACAGTGAGAACAGCCTCACCAGCGTCGTTTGTTGCTTTGCACACATAATTCCCACGATCTTGCATGGTTGTCTCATGTACAACAAGTGTCCCATTTTCCATTAACTGATAGCGTCCACTCACCTGTGGACTTGCGAGAACAAAACCTCCTGGCATGGTCCAAGAAATAGTGGACTTTATTTCATCTGTCAGGCAATGTAGGAAGAGAGACTGTCCAGAAATACCCCGAATAATCCCCTTTGGCCGTGTTAGAATATAAGGCTTTTGAATCACCTCAAGAACGACAAGCTTTTCAATATATCCCACTTTGTTTTTGGCAGCGCAGCGGTATTTACCAGAGTCTTCTATGCTGGAGTTATAAATCACAAATGTTCCATCCCTACCTAGGTGGTATCTTGAGCCTTCAAGCCCTTGCGCTCTAGTGAATCGAGTCTTGTTGGGTAGTGTCCATATGATGTCGGGTGTGGGTTGTCCATCAGCAGAACAGTTTAGCACTGCAGTTCTCCCAACCCGAGTCACTACTCTCTCATTAAAGGGGTTCTTAAAAATGGGTCTCATGAGCTTGTCGGTCACTTCCAGTTGAACTAACATGACCGCCTCGCCTCCATCGTTCTGAGCAATACAAATAAACTCTGCTGTATCCGATGGCCGGACATTACGGATCTCTAGCGTACCATTGACATGCACATTGATCCTGCTCCCATAATAAGGAGCTGTGAGAAATATATTGTCAGGCATGATCCACGTGATCTTTGGCACTGGATCCCCTTCAGCATTGCAGTCTATTAGCTTTCTTGTGTATTTGATTGCTGTATCTTTTAGCACCGTTCTGTTTTGCTTGAAGCCATTGATTATGGGTGGGTTTCCATCGATGTCCAGTTTATAAACTTTATTCTCCTCACCTGCTGCATTACGAGCCATGCAGACATACTCCCCAGCATCAGATAATTTAACATTTCGTATATCAAGAGACCCATTAGCGTGCACAAAGTAACGCTCATTAGAGGCAGCGATTATGTCTTTGGATGGCAGCATCCAAAAGACCTTTGGCTTGGGCTCACCGATAACCTTACAATCGAAGCGGACATTTCCACCTGGATTAACTCTGGCATTAGAAAGCTTTGGGTGCTGAATGTAAGGCGCCGCTGTTAGCACACTTATGTGAACATGCATCTTGTCTTTACCCAATTTGTTTTCAGCATAACAGGTATAGTCCCCTTCCTCGTCAGTACCCACTGTATTCAGGTACAGCGTTCCATTATTAAATAAGATGTATCGTTTCAACTGGTCCCCCTCCGTTTCATCTGCCTGCAGGGCACTATTGAGCAGCGTACCATCAGGGAGTCCCCATGATATCTCTGGCATAGGCACCCCAGCAGCCACACAGTCCACTTTTAGGTCATTGCCATAAGGCACTTGCTTCCTGCTGAAAACACTTGGTTCAATTCGAGCTGGCTTCATAGATACTGATACCTTCATTAGCTGTGTGTCATCTCCAACTTTGTTGCGTGCAACACAGAGGAAGTCCCCACTATCTTTCTCATTGAGTGATTCAATGATTAGGGTACCATTTTCCAGGACTTTGATGCGACTGCCCATTCTGAAAGGAGAATGTGATGTTTTAATAAATAATAAAAACACAGTTTTTAAAACACATTTTAAAACACATTTACACAATGAATTCTGTTAACAGTTGATTTGAAAAAATAAGTACAGAAATTCTGATCAAATTTTTTATTTTAATACTTTTACTTGACTTAGAGCGTACTCATACTATGTACAGTTGCCTTGAACCGGGCCAAAGCACGCTTGTCCCCCCTCCTGCACTCACATTACATTTGGGCCTGGCCTAGCTTACATCATCGATGATGCACTGTTCAGTTTCGCTTAGCACAGTGGATATTTCTTTAGTTATATAGTTTAAAAGTCTTAAAAGTCACGTCTTGTCTTCAGTTTCGGGCTCAGACACGATTTGCACTCACAGTACAAGCAACCCAGGCTCATTCTGAGAACGTAGTCCCGTGGACGTTTCTGGAGACCGTGAAATAAGTCCCAGGAGGTACGTATTTTTGCAGTTTTTGTTTTCGCGAATAAACTAGAGGCCGCTGTGCATGCTTTTTTGCGTCTCAAACCTCTCTTACGAGCGCCGTTGGCCCCTGCGCTGTTCTCGTGTGAACCCGCCAGAGGCCGCTGTCGGAACGACCTTCCGCCTGTCTGTCTGATAGAATGATTGTCCGTGCGACCGGCCAATCGGCTGACCCACCCTCCTACTTCCCTAAACACAACCAACAACGATTCACAAAAGCCGTCCATAAAAAGAAAAGCCCTCGTCTGATTTTGACCAAATTCTCACCCTGTGATGAACTCTTTCGCTTTATTTTTTGGGTTTTGTTTTTGTTTTCTTACCTGATTACTGGAACCGCTCTTCCCTGGACTTGAACCCGGTTGTCGTCGTTGTCATTGTGGTCAGCTACTTTCTGCACCTCCAGTCCGCTGACGTACATGAGGAGCTATCCGGACAAACTGGTTGTGGCGAGAAAGCCCTTCACACAAAGTAGAGCGGCCAGCCGGCAAGTGCCGGAAGGAACGACGTCACACCGCCCAGCAGCAATTGTTTAAAAAAAATGAAGCACAGATGTACGTACCTCCGGCTATGTATTTCACGGTTTCCAGAAACGCCCTCGAGACTACGTTTTCAGAATGAGCCTGGGTTGACTACAAGCGTACCGCGCCTGAGCACAAGTGAACCCCGCTCTGGCACACCTCTTCCAACTAGGCCAGGGCCGGCCAAGGGAATCGTGTCTGAGCCCGATTCAGAGCACTCACACTTCTCAAACGATCTGGGAAACAGGCCTGGGCACGGTTTGGATAGCATAGTGTGAGTACGCCTTTAGTATGAATAAAATGTATTAAATGTAAATATAAAATGTAGGCCATGCAATATCTATTTGCTCATATTTATTGCTTCTGCCCTAATTGAGATTTAATCAAAGGGTAAATTAGTTAGACATGAAAACTATAAACTTGAATGTATTTTGATGGTAGTTGTTACTATCTACCTGTGTGTCTTGTCTACGAGGACCTTTGAAGGTAGCCGCCACATAATTTCAGGTGTTGGGTTACCAACTGCAGAGCAGTTCAGATGAAGTTGGCCACCATATTCCACATCAGTGTGGTGTCGTGATGTCACAACGATCCTCGGGATGGTTTCTGTCCTCTTCACAGAAAGTGTAACAACTCGACGTTCTGATCCAGTAGAACTTGTTGCAATACACTCATACTTTCCACTTTCAGAAACGTCTAAGTTCCTCAGGTAAAGTGTACCATTCGCAAAAACTGAAATTTTGGTGTGTGAGTAAGTTAGAGGTAAAACTATAACGCCATTGTGTAAGACCCAGTGTGTTGTGGGTTGTGGGTCACCATGAGTAGTACAGGGCAAAAACAGATTCTGCCCAGCATCAGCTTTCACAAGCTGTTGTTTTTCTTCCAGTATTACAGGCAGTGTTGCTACCACCTGGAGATGAACAGTAGCTGTGTCAGTACCCCCTGGATTGCTCGCAACACACTTATAATGTCCATGATCTGACACTGACACCTCTTGAATGGTTAACGTTCCCATTGGGGATACTTTTACTCTGCCATGCTCACCATTTGGCCCCTTCACTTCAGTGTGATTTGGCAGAATCCATGACACAATAGGCACCGGTCTGCCCTCTGTCCTGCACGCCATGTGCACCGTTTTCCCAGCCAGAATCTTGAGATCCCTCATCTTTGTCTCCAATATCCGTGCGGGATAGGCCACAACTGACAATGTTACCACAAGCTTGTCAGAACCATAGTCGTTCTCGGCAATGCATATGTACTGTCCATGGTCTTTAATGTTTGTTCTGTGGATTAACAATGTTCCATTCTTCAAGACTTCAAATTTACCCATTTTACCCTTGATGGTCAGCATAATACCTGTTGATATAAAGAAGACGTAAGTAAAAGGTAAACATCAACATACTTTTTTTAGTTTATACTGTGAAAGCGCTTCTGGCCTAAGACATATCATATTGTAAAAATATGAAAATGACACCAATAGAATCTTAATTTTTTTTATTTGGCAGGGCAATTAAGTCTTTTCTGTGTTGTACCTGTGGTCGATGAGAATCTGTTCCAGCTGATGATGGGCTCAGGGTTGCCAGTGGCCTTGCATGGGAGGAAAGCATCAGAGTTTGACAGAACAGTGAAACTGGCAGCTTTTCCACCATCAATCACTGGCTTGGAGGTAATATGCTTAAGAGATGACGTGTCATACCATGTAGAGTGATCATATGCGTTCAGATTTCCAGTAGTGCTACTGGTGTATGGGAATGGAGTAATTGGGAATGCTGTTGAAGTAGTCATTGTATCTGAAGTAACTGTTCTGCGCTGAGATTTTCCAGAAGCCTTTGGATGAAGACACCCAAAACAGTCCTTGACTGTGTGTTCATGAGTTGTTGGCTGAATCTTGATCACAGGACTCTGTGTTGTATGTCTCCAAAATCTTTCTGGGGTACCCCTCATATTTGTGTTTACTTTGGCGTTTTTGGTTTTGTGTTGAATTTGGGACTGTACAGTTGTGTGTGGTCTTGTCACTGTAGGATTTAAATCAACTATAGTGGTTTTTGTAGTCAAGGAATCGCTCCACCCCTTGCTGCCAGAATCAGTATTACCAGTTGATACAGGTCTCTCTGATTCTTTAAGAGTTGGGTGCAAATGGTGTATTCCTACACCTCTGTGTTTAGTTTGTGTTGGTGTGTTTGTGGAGTGAGTGGCAGCCGACTCTACCGCAATTTTAGTCATTGTGCCAACTGGGGGTTTAGTGGTTGTCTTTTTTATGGGCCTTCTCCCTCTGAAGCCTCGTCTGTGGTAACCAGGCTTTTGCTTTCTCCACAATCCTGTGCTTGAGAACTTACTCTGAGAAGTGTCTTGCTTCTGCACAGTTTTCATCGTTGGTGGGGCTAATAGACTGTGAGAAACTCCTGTTGGTTCTGTGGTTGTGGACAGTTCATGGAAGGTTGGAGAGGTGAAACTCCTAGATGGTTTAGATGGAGTTATGATGTTGTCAGAGAAATCTGTTTCTGTTAAGGAGGAAGAACCTGATGAGTCATCTGATGATGCGTCTGGAGTATTGTTGCTTTCTTTTGTCTTTGTAGGAGAGACATTAACATGTGTGAGATGGAGTTCTGTAGTGGGAAGTGGGGTTGTTGACTTATAAGGTTCTGCAGTGGATGTTGAAGTCATCTGCTCTTTGTTAGTGGATAGCGTGATTGAGTTTTGATGCTTCCTGGGGGTCTCTCCATTGTTTTCAAATGATCCCTGCCATAGAATCTTCCCCTGTGTGAATTGAGAAGACATTGTGGTTGTGGATGTGGTTGTAGCTGTGAAAGCTTTCTCTTTTGAGTTAAAATATTTTTTATAACCGCCAGACTCCTCAGAAATGGAGTGCACCAAAGTTGTTGACATTTGTGAGTCAGTTACAGTCGCTCTAGAGCCTGCCCTGACAGGTTGTTCTGCTACACTCAAAGAGGATATTGTTATGTGGTACATATCTGTAGAGTTGATCGGGCTTTGATCAACTGAGATTCTGCATTTATCTGTAGACACCCCAGATTTATCACTTTTCATTTTGACACACTCTGCAAATTTGTCAGTAGTTTCTGAAATTGGGAGGTTGTCTTCCTTGTTTGTAGAATGAAGTTTAAATTTATCAAGTATTGACTGTATGTCTGAAATTTTGCTGGGACGAATGATCCTACGCCTGCCGTTAAACTTGCGCTTCTTTCCTGGTTGCATTTTTCTGGAAGGAACGATTTGGATCTGGTGTTTAGAGATGATGGTAGACCCAGGAAGGAGCTCTGACTTGATCCTTTGAGTTGTCTGAAATGTGATCTTCTCTTGATCTTCGGTTGTGGTGACTGCTGTGAATATCGTCTGACTCTTAGGCTCCACATTGGTGACATTTGGGCCTTGGAAGTTATACTGTGTTGTCCCAGAGGTAACATCTTCTGAATCCCCAGAGAACGTAAGCTCTGTAACTTCGATCAGAGAAGGTTTGTGAGTCACAAGTGTCTCCGAGGGTCTACTTGTTGCGGTATCATATAAAGAGGTTTCTCCATCAGTTTGATTTAATTTATAATCTGACTTGGTCTTACTTTGTTTTTTGTAATTTCTTTGTGTTCCATAGTTACTTAAAGTGTAGCTTGGAGTTATTGGAGAGGTAGGAGTCTGAGAGTCTGTTATTCCTGTAACCAAATTACTTTTTTTCTTTGTTCTTAAGACATGACTAGTGTCATCAGATGTTACTTGAATGAAAGCACTGTTAACTGTTTTGTAAGTCCTTGGGATTTCAGTGTTGATGGAGCTAACTTGTTTTTTCTCAAGTGTTTTAGTTGTTGAAATTACAATAAATTCATCTTCATTTATACCATCCCCCGAGGCTGCGTTATTGTCATCAGATTGTTCTTTAAAGAGAGTTTTAGACAAGTTTACTGCCTCTTTATTTATTTCTTTGATTTGAGGCTTGTTGATCAACGTTTTCCCCTCTTTCTGAAACCTTTTATTAAAGACTCTTCTAGAGTTCCTTCCATTCCCTCTTCTACCGATGGGAACTTTATGAAATCGGGACTGTAGCCAAGTGTAAGGCCTGTCTGAGGTAATACTCCTTGACTCCTCACTTGTCCTTTGAGAGAGATACCTACTTCCAAGTGTCTGACTATTGTCTATAATTTGTACAACACGATGGTTAGATTCCTTTACATGAGTTGGCATTGTGCTATTTACCCAATCATCATAGATGGTTACTTGAGAAGCAAGCAAGTCCGCTCCCAGAAAATTTCCAGCTAAGCATCTGTAAAACCCTATGTCCCTGTAAGTCAATCCATGTATGACCAAAGTGCCATTTCTATGGAGAGTTCTTTTGCCATAAGATTTGTCTAAAACTGTGTGGTCGGGAAGTATCCACTGGATGGACGCCTGTGGACTGCTAAGTGATGTACAATCAAGACGTAGGTTCTGACCAAGGTGATGTGAGACTCTGATTCCGTTAATCTCTTCCTCCTCAATATCCAGAGGCATCACAGTGACCCTAAAGGCAAGAACATCTGCATCCAGATAGCTGGTCGCAATGCAATGATAGACACCCGTGTCTGAGATTTCAGCTGATTTTACAGAAAGAATTCCTTCATGAGTTATTACAATCCTTTGGTCCTCGCTGTTATATGGTGCACGTATCTTACTTCCATCTGGTAGAATCCATTCAATTATGGGTTTGGGATTCCCGAAAGTCTGGCAATTTAATTCAGTCATGCCACCAACAAGGAGTAAGTGCTCAGTCCTGGTCTGGTTGTCCCTTCTAATCATAGTCCAACTATACTCATCTCTATTATTCTTGCTGCCCCCAACATCTATTTGAATGGTCGATAAATACTTGATGGTAAGTGTTGGGAATGCTGTTGTTGCACGATCCAGTTGTAGCATAACCCTACCTTGCATTAACCATTCAGGAATGGCTTTGATTTTTGCTTCGATTTCTGTGAAAACATCCTCTGCAGTGGACACTGCCTGCTTATATGTGTAGACTGCGTCTGATTGTAAAGAAATTGCTAATTCTCGCTCAAGGATCATTGGGAAATCGCTATAGGTAGCCAAAATGTCCCAAATCTCACGTATATCATCATAATCAATATTGCAGACTAGCAATGTGGAAACAGTTGCTCGCAGGGCAGTTACGTCTTTTCCATCCAGTCCAAAGATTGCAGACATGTTTTCCATTGATGAAGGTCTCTGCACAAGACATGCAACCCTGGCATCACTGTGAGATTGATCTTTGATGTTCATTTCTAAGGAACCAATGGGTGCGACAAAATCTACAGGAGACACTTCGGTGTAATCACCATCAGTCATGGTAAAATTCCTCAACTTTAAGTAAGGCTTTATCTGCGGTCTGCTGCATGTGTAGCCATCACTTTGCAATTGCACAATGCTGCTGCCTCTGGAAGAAAGTGGAAATTCGCAGATGGGACATGGTTCTTTCAGAAACTTTTTGTCTCTTTTGCATTTGAGAACACCTGCAAAAACAAAGATATTTCTCATTATATACCAATGTCTACATGTAAATTGTATATTTATTTAACAAAAATATCCAAATATACAAACATTGTTCATTCATTTCTTTTCTTTTTGGCTTAGTCCCTTTATTAATCTGGAGTTGCCACAGCAGAATGAACCACCAACTTATCCAGCTGTGTTTTACACAGCGGATGCCCTTTCAGCTGCAACCCATTACTGGGAAACATCCATACTCACTCATTCACACACATACACTACAGACAATTTTAGCCAACCCAGGCTCATTCTGGAAACGTAGCTCCGCGGACGTTTCTGGAGATCGGGATTTATGTGGCCGGAGGTACGTATGGCCGCATCTTTTGTTTTTTTTTCTCGAGCGAATGCTACAGGGCAGTGTGAGTGACGCTGGTCCTCTCCTCTTCTTCGCGCTTGTCGGCTGGGCTGACAGCTCGCCTCCGTGTGGAGGGCTTTCCCACCAGCACCACTTTGACTGCTTAGCTCGTGGTGTTATGTCGGCGGAGGGGAGGCGTGGAGAAGGAGGAGGCGACGGCGACGACCGGGTTCGAGTCCGGAGAAGAGCGGTTCCTGAAATCAGGTAAGATGAAAAACAGAATCCAAAAAATAAAAGCGAACAAGTTTGCGACAGGTTGAGAACGCAGCGAGATACGAAAACGCGGTCAAAATCAGACGAGAGCTTTTGTTGTTTTTTTCGGATGGCTTTTGTAAATCATCGCTTAGGTTTAGGGAAGAAGGAGGAGGAGGGTGGCAGTCGAAAGGCGTTCAAGACGCAAAAAAAAGCACCCACATCAGCCTCTCGCCGATTCGCGAAAACAAAAACTGCACAAATACGCACCTCCCAGGACGTATTTCGCAGTCTTCAGAAACATCAGCGGGGCTACGTTTCCACATGCCTGGGTTGATTTTAGCAAACCCAATTCACCTGTACTGCATGTGTTTGGACTTGTGGGGGAAACTGGAGCACCCAGAGGAAACCCACGTGAATGCAGGGAGAACATGCAAACTCTGCACAGAAATGCCAACTGACCCAGCCAAGGCTCGAACCAGCGAACTTTTTGCTGTAAGGCAACAGCACTACCTACTGTGCCTGTACCTACTACCTACTGCATCGCCTAAAAACATTGTATATTTAACAAAACATTTCTTTCCCTATATAGACCAGAATCTTACCAGGGTGTTTCTCTATCCACTTGGCCAGCCAACTCATCCGGCAATCACATGACCAAGGGTTTCCACTTAGAAACAGATTTTCTATCTTGACGCAGCCAGATAATACAGCGGCAGGCAGTGTGCCTAAAGCATTGTCAGACAAATAAATAGTCTTGAGAGATGACCATTTTAAAATCTGACCAAAGCGCACTGAAATAAATGTGTCTGGATGAAGCTGCTGGAGCTGGTTTCCTTCAAGGTTGATCAACTGCAGGCGTTTTAATCCATAAAAACTCTCCGGGTGGATGAAGGTGATGAGATTGTGGTCCAATTGAAGGCGTACAAGATTGTCCAGGCCTCTGAATGTGTCCTTGTTGAGCTTCTCAACTCTGTTGTAACTCATTTTCAGAACCTGGATATACAAATAAAAAACAAGAGCTGAGATGTGACATTAAAGTGACCTTCAAATTGACTCTAACTTCAGAGTTTTTCATTGGCCTTAAACATTGAATTATTATTTTCTCTTGCTTACAGCATTCTAGTTCTGACTTGTTTTTTAGTGTGATCAACCTTTGGGCTAGTTGTAGACAGGGCCGGAGCAAGCTGAACTGCCGCTCTAGGCAGAGGACGTTCACGCCGCCCTCAACCCCAATGTGAAAACGAAAGTGACGGGTTATGAAAATGAAGTGAGGTGTCACGGACTATTCCGTCACTCTATGCGCGGATATAACTGAAGCTCGTGTGCTGAGGGAGGGAGGGGGTGTCGCAGACTGGTGAACACCACCCTCTCTATTCCTCCGCCCTATGCGTGGATATAACTGAGGACACGCGGGTGCTAAGGAAGGGAGGTGTCGCGGACACTGCGTTCTTTATTCTGCCGCCCTATGCGCGGATATAACTGAGGACACGCGGGTGCTGATGGAGGTGTCGCTGACGCCGCCCTCTCTGTTCTATCGTCTATGCGCGAATATATCTGAGGACGCGGGGGAGGTGTCACTGACATAACTGAGGACGCAGGTGGTAAGGGAGGTGTCGCAGACGCCGCCCTCTCTATACTGCCGCCTAGGTCGCCTCTATGGACGCGCCGGCCCTGGTTGTAGATGTATTTGGAAGCAACTCGTAACATATTAATGATATTTTGGCATATTGAACGAAATGACTCGAAAAAAGATTTGTTCATCTCGATGAACGAGACTCAAAGGTAAGAGTCAGTTAAATCCGAACCTCTCATCACTATTTTCCATCAGCTGATAACCACTGAAAACGCTCATTCAATCGAGTGATAACATTCAAATCGGCTGGGGAAGCTTTACAAAAGATTTACAAATGCGTATGCTCAGTGCGGCAGAAACAAGGTCTCATTGTTACTTGGTGGTTCTAGTGGTGTAAAAGTATGGTAACTCCTCACCTTTTGCATCTTGCACCAAAAACATCTGAGCAGTTGTCATTCTGCCACAAATGGCCCTAAGTGACTGTCAAACACTGCAATGGTTATGCAAGTCAACCCAAGTTGCAAATATTTAACTGGTGCTTCAAGTGATTTTTTTAAAGAGCTGTACGTCACCATATCTCCATGCACCACAGATGGATGCATGGTAATGTCTAAAATCAAGCTTGACTTGAATGTAAGAGTTCTTTATTAAGTCTTCCTTATCTCAGCCTCAGTTATGCTTTCAGAACACCAGCAGTCTGTTCAAAGATCATTCTGCACCCAAAAATGCAGATGGCTTAATGCGGCAACTAGGAGTGAATACAAGTGACTGCCAGGAAACAAAATAGTGTTTACTAGTAGGGAATTGATTTTGGCTTTCGAGAAGAAACTAGTAACTATTGGCCTAAATTTGCCAGATGTCTTGCATTAAATCATTAAAATATACTCAGAGTTTAGTCTGAGGCCATTATTACCAGTAAACCAGATTTCCACAAGAAGAATGGACTTGTAAATTATGTTGATGCCGTTACATCTTTTTGTCCAAGGAAACGTAACTCTTGGCGAGAGTCAGATGAAATTAGAACCAGGATTTATGCCTCAAGTCAAATGTCTGGCTGCAGAGAGTATACTGTTCCTCAATCTGTTCAGACACAAAACTAAAACTACATTCAAAGACATGCATGTGCACATGGAGGCCTCACAAGAGTCAACATTTCCATAAAAAGGCTAGCGTTTTAAGATTGCATAGATATTTTGGTGTTCTATTTTGGCCATATGTATTGTAGCTTTACACTAAACATTGCTTTTCAGTTAGCAAACACAATCTCTGTATATGTCTGTATGTCACACTAATTTATGCACACCAGGAAACTTGACGTCTAGAAGATGGATGAATTGCACATCATTTATTCACCTCTGCTGTTCTCACATAAATCCACCAGAGGCCGCTGTCGACTGACTGAGCAACCAACTGATCCCCCCACCCTCTACCCTCTCCTTTCCCTAAACCCAACCAATAGCATTTTAAAAAGCAACGATTGATCCGCCCACCCCCTTCCCCAAACCCAACCTCAGTATTTTAAAAAGCAGTCCAGAAAAATGAAAGCCCTGGTCTAATTTTTACCACATTCTCACCCTGTTATTTTGTTTATTTTTTGGCTTCTGTTTTTGTACCATGCGATTTCTGGAACCATTCTTTACCGGACTCGAACCTTGTTGTCACAGTCAACTCCACTCTGCATTACAAGCACACGTAAGTGGTGAGCTAACTGGACAAACTGGTAACAGTGGTAAAGCCATCAATATGGAGGTAAGCTGTCAGCTGGTAAGCGTGAAAAGGAACGGCACCATAGCACCCTGTAGTGTTCAGTGTTTTCTTTGTATATACAGTATGGATCTCTTTGGTTGTTAACAATATCCAGTGAAAATTCAAAGCTAGAAGCACCTTTAGAAATGTTTCCTGAGAAAAATGGTGACATGTTCAATACTTATTTTACCAACCCAGGCTCATTCTGAAAACGTAGTCCCGTGGACGTTTCTAGAGATCGCGAAAAATGTCCCAGGAGGTATGTATTTGTGCAGTTTTTGTTGTCGCGAATACGCGAGAGCCCGCTGTGTGCTCTTTGTCGTATCTCAAATGTCTCTCGCGAGTGCCGTTCGCACCTGCGCTGGTCTTGCGTGAACCCACTAGAGGCCGCTGTCTGACTGACCGAATGATTGACTGCGCGACCGGCCAATCTGCTGACCCACCCACCTCCTTTCCTAAACCCAACCAGTTTTACAGATTGACCCGCCCGCCCGCTCACTTCCCTTTACCCGAGCGACAATTTAAAAAAGCCGTCTAGAAAAAGAAAAACCCTCGTCTGATTTCACTTTATTTTTTGGATTCGGATTTTGTCTTACCTGATTTCTGGAACCGCTCTTCCCCGGACTAGAACCCGGTCGCCGTGGTCAACTCCTCCTCTCTGCATCTGAAGTCCACTGACGCACTCGATGAGCTGATTGGACAAACTGATTGCAGCGGGAAAACCCTCCACACAGAGGTAAGCGGTCAGCCGGTAAGCACGAAAAGGAATAGCGTCTTACTGCCCCGTAGCGTTCGCTTAAAAAATGAAATGCAGCCATACGTTTATCCCGAGACGTATTTCGTGTTCTCCAGAAACGTCCACAGGACTACGTTTTCAAAATGAGCCTGGGTTGTATTTTACTTATCTATAATGTGTTTGTAAATATGTGAAGTTTAATTTATTAAACTAACTTCGAGAGGAGTACGTGCTCATGATTAACCCAGCTGGCTCATATTAGCTAATCACGATCCTCCAATCAAGGATCCCTTGTTCCTATATATCTCCTCCTTTTCCACATTTAACTATCTATGTCTTGCAGAAACCCCCCTTCTCCCCCTTCTTTCACCTTTATCCAAAATAGGTGGCTCGGCGTCCCAGCATCCAACAGGAATTTCAATAGCTCTGGCTCCCTACTTGAGCTTCTGATATCTCTGCGTGGTGCTGGCACGTTTCCCCCCGGGGTTTCAGTTCTCTCCCAAAGCCTAAAGATTGCTCTGCATTATAGACCTCTTAAACCTAAGTCTCTTTTACTAGTCGTCTGCTCTCAGGAAGTTCACCTTGGCCTTAGCTGCGGGGTAGTTTGAGCTCAATCTCCTCTCGCCCCACAAAGGGAGGGAGCCCTGGACTCAAGGAATGCCTTGAGCTCAGGGCTCTCTCCTGGGACAGCATGCCAAATAAGCGTTCGTAAGTCATGAGCTAAGTGTGAACTCTTGAATGTGAATTGAGCGTGGTTTACCTGCAGAGATGTGAGGCCACTGAACGCGCTGTCCTCAACAGTTTTGATCATGTTACTATGCAGCATTAACAATTCCAGCTTATTCAGTCCCGAGAGAGCGTTCGCTTGAAGACTTGACAAACTGTTATACCTGAAACACAAAATTGCACAGAGGAACTGAGCTCAAGTAAGCAGTTTCGATTGCATTTCTCGAGAAATTTCAGCGGTGGTTTGCCTGTTGTAGGTTTTACCCCAGGTTAATTCTTTCCACAGCTGTCTGGATGTCTCCGGGCATTTCACTCAGGTATCTGAATGTGCAGTGCACTTCAGACGGAGCGTAGCAGACGCATGATTTGGGGCAGCCGCTGCTTCTGTGTGTTAAACAGGCCAAAACACACAGTAGCACCATGAATCTCCATAGCAGACGGGAATCCGCTGCTGGGTCACACATTCTGGACGAGGAGGAGCTCGGTTTCTTCCCTGTTTTCTGACAAGCTCGAGCTATTAATCATTTGCTGTCTGTAGGAAGAAAATAAGATAAGAGCAATTCCAGCGTAGTGGATGTGACATTTGCAGTGAAAACTTGAAACTCCACAGAGAATGCATGTGTTAGCTATATATTGAAACATCTTTTTCAAAACAACTAACCGCAGTATTAACGGATCAGAAAAATACCAACGTGTTGTATAAATCTGTAATATAATATCTGTAATATCAATCTGCAAAAGTAAAATCTTTCAGAATCATTCATAAGGGTCTGCAAAACAATCTGTAAACCTCAAAACATCTGCAGAACAAATAAAATGTTAAACAATATATTGAAAAGCTTCATTGTGCATGGGACATATCTCTGTTATGGATGTGACCGATGCGAAGGGGACATGTGTGGCTTTGGTAAATCAAATAAAATAGCTGGAAAATGTTGACAGAAACAATTTTGGATGTTTTATACAATTTTCTAAAATGCAAACCCAAGCAAACAACTAAGAAAGGGTTTTGCAATTTTGGTGAAAACCTTAGTGAAGTGATATTTACAATGAATTGCTCATAAGATTTCCGTTTAGGTCATAATGTAAGGTATTAACTAACATTAACTAACACAATCAGCTTAATAAAGTACTAATTAGCAGTTTATTAATAGTTAGTATGTAAAAGTTGGGTTTGGGTAGGATTAGGGATGCAGAGTAAGATCATACTTTATAACTACTAATGAACAGTTAATATCTTAATAATAGGCAGGTAATAAGTAGGGCCAGACGGAATCTGCTGTTTTTTGCTTTTTCTGTGGAGAATGTTGGTAATAATCTGTGGATTTCTGCTGAATTATTTTGGGAGTATCATAACTAAAACCTTAATATGTGAAATAGAAAATAATATCTTTTCAACTATTTAATGTTTACAATGCAAATCCAATTAGATTCACTTTATTTGGTAAACAAAGCAAGTCTCTCGTATAATATCTCTACTAAAAGACAAACTGCATTGTACATGAATCAGATGAAGATTTTCATATTAGTCAATAATATTACTGTAATTAATTTAAAAACTGAATAAATACAGATTTACACACATTTACTCAAGTAAATAAACAGATTCTGTGTGGGCCTAGCCTGTAGTTAATAGCATTAATTGTGACCTACACTAAAAGTTGTCGAAAACAATACTGTTGATCATTTTTTCACATCGTCATCCCCCTTAATTAACAAACTCCTATGTGCAAAACACATTGTGACTCTGAATCTAAATTTGGCAATAGCCAATAATACATTGTATGGATCAACCTTATTGATTTTTCTTTCATGTAAAAAACAAAGATTGGATTATTAACTAATATTAATTAAAAATCATGTTCCACCAAGACATTTTGCAAATTTCTTACTGTAAACATTTCAAAACTTCATTTAATTAGTGATGTTCACTGCTAAGCACTTAATTTAGTCATCTATAGAGGTCATTTTCTCAATATGTAGATTTTCTTTGAACCCTCGGGTTCTAGATTTGCATCCCAGTATATTTATTCAGCTTTCAGATGACATATGCATCTCATTTTTGTTTTTAAAAAGACCCTTATATTTGTGGTACAGAGTCACACAATTACATAATTAAAAATCTAAATGTCAGACATTGCATCTATCAAATATAACTGATTGTATTGCTTAACAAACACATTAAAAGTAACACTTAAAAAAGTATTGTTATTAAAGATAAAATGTCAACTATTCATAATACAACAAGAATTCTGTATATTGTAAATACTACACTGCAATAAAGAATTTTCTTACTCAGAGTTTTTGTCTTGTTTCTAGTCCAAATATCTAAAAAAAAAATTAAATCAGGAAGCATTTTCTGCACAACAAAAATATTGTCTTGTTTTATAAAATTAACAAATCATAATTGAGTTTTTTACTTAATAATCTGCCAATGGGGTGAGCAAAACAACCTAGTTTTACTTTTTGACATAAGAATATTTTGCTTGTATTTTTAGATATTTGAACTTAAAAACAAGACAAAAAAAAATCTAAGAAAGAAAAGCAATTTTGCTGTGTGTGAATACAGAGTAAACTTAAAATGAAGTCAAATGAAGTCATTAAACATTATAGCGACACCTTCAGTAAAGTGCGGGTGTGCAGATAGATTACCCAATTAATGACTTCATTGATTCGTCAGAAATGTAATGTTTAAAGTGCATAAGGACAGTATATTTAATATATGTGTTAAAGCACTTACCTTATACATTGTTGAACTGTTTATGCTCTCATGTCCACATTATGAAATTAATAATCCACAGTCTGCCATGGTGAAGAGTCGTATCCATGTACTGATAATGAAGTGTGTTGAAGTCAGTTGATGCAGAATCGCGTGTCTGTGCTGAACTGGAGACTCAATTCTCCTCCTCACGGGCTTCAGTCCCACTCGTGTGCGCGGGGTTCACAAGGAGGAAAACATACAAGCTTTTTTCTTTTTCTTCTTCTTAAAGGTTCTCGTTTTTCTCTGGATTGTTGCTCTCATAAGCAGATAACCACATTAAAAGTATTTTTTAACCATACTGTATGGTCAAGTTTTGGATTTAATCTGTTGTGATTCTGGTTGCTATAATATAAACAAATGGACGGTGAGTATGTGATGACAGAAATACATTTATATTCTTTGGGGGTAAATTTTACCAGGGATGTGCAGTATTTATGATACTTGTTTTTAAATACATATTTCAAATACAAAATAGTATTTCAATAGTTTTCAGTTTAAAAAGAGAAGATTTGCGAAGAAATGTCATGCTCCTTTGGAAAAACGTATTTAGTATCATTTTTAAAGTACCAAAATACAGTGTTTTATTTTGATATCTGTTGTTGCTGCTGTATTGTGTACAGTGGTGTAAAGTAACTAATTACAAATACTCAGATTACTGTAATTGAGTAGCTTTTCTCAGAAATTTTAAATAAATTTGAAATTAAAATACTTTATTATTTCTTGTCTATGGGGATTAGAAAGCTACCTCAAGATATGGGCGCTTAATAATTGCAACAAATTGTTTTGGAAGCATTAAAAGTGTACAAGACGTTCAAAACCTTTACACACATTGACCCAGAGACTGTTTAGAATATTAACGTCTAATGATGTTCCAGCTTGACGTTCCAGAAAAGCAGGTAAAACAGAAACAGAATCTAAAAACTAAAATAAACACGTAAATAAGTGTGAGAATGTGGTAAAACCTGAAAACATGGTAAAACCCGACGAGGGCTTTTCTTTTCTGGATTTCTTTTTGAAAATTGTTAGTTGGATTTAGGGAAGTGGGTGGGTGGGTCAATCAATGAAATTGATTGGGTTTAGGGATGGAGGAGGGTGGGTCAGTCAATCGGTCAGTCAGTCAGTCAAACAGTCAGACAACAGCGGCCTCTAGTGGGCTTACATGACAAAAGCAGGCAGGATAGAGATTCTAGATCTCAAAAAGTGTACACAGCGGCCTCTTGTGGATTCACAAAAACTGCCAAAAAATGCAACTCCTGGCACGTATTTCGCAGTCTCTAGAAATCTATATAGAGGTCCGTTTTCAGAATGAGCCTGGATTGAAAGTGTCTGGTGCATATGGAGAGGAACGAGTGTGTTTTCCAATGCAAACTCACAGCAATTTGGAACATTTTGCTTAGTGGCTAATTCTTATGAATTTATTCATTCATTTTCTTGTCGGCTTAGTCCCTTTATTAATCCAGGGTCGCCACAGCGGAACGAACCGCCAACTTATCCAGCAAGTTTTTACGCAGCGGATGCCCTTCCAGCCGCAACCCATCTCTGGGAAACATCCACACACACATTCACACACACACTCATACACTACTCATATGTGTTTGGACTGTGGGGGAAACCGGAGCACCCGGAGGAAACCCACGCGAAGGCAGGGAGAACATGCAAACTCCACACAGAAACTCCAACTGAGCCGAGGTTCGAACCAGCGACCCAGTGACGTTCTTGCTGTGAGGCAACAGCACTACCTACTGCACCACTGCCTCGCCTTCGTATGAATTTGTACGATCTAATTTGTAAAATTTTACGTGATAAAAATCGTTAAAAAAAATCTGTACAAACGTATTTCTGCACTGATCCACCTGTGAGTCCAGTTGCGCTCTCAAAGAGGGAAAATGAAACAAAACCTTTGTTGCTGCACATTTAAAAACACAACACTGACGACCTGTATCTCCAAACAATTCTTCTTCTCCTACTTGTTTTGGCAACAAAACTTGGCGTCTCTCTGCCGTCTGAAGACTGTAACAGGTTAAAACAGTCTTGGAAGCGATCATGCATATTAATGAAGCTGAACCTCATACACAATAGAGCTCTCTGATTGGTTTAAACCAAGTCTTACTCATGAATGAATGCAGCACACTCGGAGACGTAATAAGGTACTCCCAGTTACAGACGTCCAGCCTCCACGCTGGAATACACGCTAAGATCTCATGGCCGTGACGCAACTTCAAAAATTTGTTTTAAAGTGGAGGTACGAATTTGCTCAAAATAACGCAAAAACAACCAATTTACACACTTTTGTGAGATATAGGTGTCCTAATAGTGTTTATAGCAGTGTGGGACACATATACGACTGTCAACAGCTCAACACATGTGCTTTGATGTTTCGTGACCCTTCAAAACAAAGTCCAGTGATATTTCAGATGTCCAGCAGGGTTTAGTCCGTTATACCAGAGCAGACATAAACAAACAGATCAAACACACAGCGTAACAAACGCAAAACTGTGGTGATCATGTGTGTGTCAGTCACCATGAAGATTCATTGGAGAACTGGATCAGGAAAACGACTGCAGTGTTGATGTAGTCTTATTCAACATGTTTTATTCCAATCAAAGATCCAATCCAGCACGATGTGGTCAAAGAAATGCGTAATAATGCCTTGTCCGGCCAACTGACTCCTCTCAAACACAAAGATTTCTCCGGCGTTGGGCAAGAAGACATTCTCTCAAACAATAAAACATGTGTTTTGGATTGTAATGGTCCAAACCCGGAGGAAGAAAACAGCTCTCTCTGGTGTTTCTTCAACTCGCACGTCATCTTCTCCTGACTATTACCCAGTAAAATCCAGAGGAGCGTTGGCAGATTGGGATGCTTTTTCATACTTTATTTATTGATGACCTTAAGATGTCTCCAGGAGCACACCTGCGGCTCTCCTTCTGCAAGGCTTTATCATCCAGCACAGACAGCAGATCTACATAAAACACATTTCAGCTCGTGTCTGGGGGCTCGTCTGCAGGGTCTGAGTAATGCTTTCCACCGCCCCGTCCTCCTCTTCTGCTCTAGTAGTAAACCCAAAACTTTTTATAAGAGCAGACCATAAAAAAAAGGCTTCACATTTTCCAAGATCTCCACTCATCTTTACTGAAGGTCAAGTGTTGCATCACAAACGTCTCGCAAACATCTAAGCGTGCATATGTGGAGTTGCTTTAGCGTGTTCACTGCATAAAATGCTATTCTTACTTATTTTTGTGTCTGGTTTTTAGTCCAAATATCTAAAATTCTTTAATCAAGAAGCATTTTCTGGACAAACAAAACATAAAGGGGAATTACCAACCTACAGAACGTCACACGTGTTCAACCGCGCATACCGGTTGCAAAAAAAGACCGGTTGCAATTGCAAACAAGTCACGTTGTGTGATAGGATGCCAAAATTGAATCGTTCAGTCATACAGTCAGTCCAGCTTGATCTCACGAGAAAACGTATTTTACGTGTTTGCAGTTTAGTGGCTAATTCGAACAAATTCATACGAGTACAGTTGTACGAATTTGTATGATTTTAAAAAGGAGGCGTGGCACCTAACTCCACCCCTAAACCCAACCGTCATAGGGGGATGAGCAAATCGTACTAAAATGTACGAATTAGATCGTACGAATTCATACGAATTAGCCACTAAATGAAAAAGTTACGAATTGCCGTGAGATTGTGTTGTTCAGTAAGTCGGACAGACGGTCGCTCGACAGTGGCCTCCGGCGGCCTCGGGTGCGAATGGCACGCTCTCGAGAGGCATTCGAGACATGAATAAGCGCGCACAGTGGCCTCCCACGGATTATCGATAACAAAAACTGCACAAATACGTACCTCCCAGGACGTATTTCGAGGTCTCCAGAAACGTCCGCTGGAGCTATGTTTCCAGAATGAGCCTGGGTTGACATTATTTCTGCACATGACCACACAGAACAACATTGTAGGCATCCAAAGACTTGTAGGCCTTTAACTTCCCTCTTGTTAAGCACGTGGAGTTTCAGTGAGAGAGTTGTATATTTGGGGCTGGATGCTTGGTCATTTCGTCTTCTCCAGTATCCATTGGTAGCATGCTACCGCAGATGGACCTGTCAAACTAACGCCACTCACTTTAATGTTAATTTAGCTGAATCACTGTGCTTATCACTGGGTGGCGAGCTGTTATAATACACTGAAAGCATTATGTCAATAATATATATAATATGTAATCAATATAACTTATCTCTAAGACAACAACAAACTCTGTACCGCATCGGATGTCATTTCCTGCGCGTGCATCCTGAATGTTTAAAAACCGGTAATTTGTTTATTTTCTTGTTCATATAAATAATAAGTCAAAATTTAAGTTGAGTTTTTCCTTACAACAAGCCACATAATCTGCAAATGGGGTAAGAAAAATGACCTTATGTCAAAAGGAAAAGCTAGATTATTTTGTTTACCCCATCGGCAGGTGATTTTGCTTGTTTTAGAAAAATAAAACTCACTTAATTTTGACATATAATTTCTAAAAACAAGACAATATGTTCTGCATGTCTAAAATGTCTCTTGATGTTTAGAGATTTAGACTAGAAACAAGTAAAAAACTCACTTTTGTGTAGTGGAGCAGGAGTGTGTGTGGCCCGAGAGCAAGCTGTCAGAGGATACAGATGATAAAGTAGCTATTTTTTTATTTGTGACCTTATATTTACATGTGGCTTTCAGCAGAAGGAAAGCCATGTGTTCAGTTATAGGAGACCTTCAGGGAAATATAAGGTATAGCTCTCCTCACATCTGCTCATTAAAAGCATCTCAGAGGCAAACGGCACAATAAAAAGAGTCAGTCTGATAAACAGAAATGTCATCCAAAACCGGGAAAGCAGCGAGAAGTTGCCAAATTGTTTTCCAAAACAACCAACCACAGAGTTATGAGATCAGAACAATATGAATGTGTAAATAATTCTTTATGCTTCAGATGAGGGAAATAAACATGCGTTATGGATGTGACCAGTGTGAGAAATTCTGTGAATTAAGCTGCACAACCCAAAAGAAAAAATGCTAATCAGAAGGAGAAGAGAAAGCTGTCTATAGAATAAAAATCGGTAAGACTTTATTATAACTACCAGGGGCGGACTGGCCATCTGGCAATTCTGGCAAATGCCAGAAGGGCTGGACCAATTTTTAAATGTGGGCCAGTCAGTTTATTTATTTATTTATTTTTTATG